AAAATGCAGATATACACCAGACATATAATAATAATAATAATAATAATAATAATAATAATAATAATAATAATAATAATAATAATTAATTAATAATTAATAATAATATATTTTTATTTCCTTTATTTAACCAGGTAAACCCCGTTGAGATCCAGATCTCATTTTCAAGAGGGACCTGGGCAGAAGTCTGCAACACAACAAACAACAATAATAATAAAAGAATAATAATAATAATAAGTAATAATAATAAAATAATAATAATAATAATAACAACAACAACAACAACGGTCTTAACTGATGTTTAAAAAAACCCCAAGAGACTACTTTTATTAATAAAAAAAAAACATAAGTTTAAAATTTACAGACTGTAATTTTTTCATACAGAAAAACGTGCAATTATTTTACTGCAAAATCATAATGTGGGGATTTGAGTTTTCTTTGTGTTTACTTTAGGTTTCTGTGTCTATTGAGTCTCCGTGTTGTCCTGTCTACCCCTTGATTGTTCCCAGCTGTGTCTCGTTTCCCTGATTATCCTCTGTGTATTTAATCCCACGTGTGCCTTGTTGGGTCCTTGTCTAGCTGTCTTGTCGCTTTCGAGTCTGCCGTCATTGTATTTTTGATGGTTACCAGTTGTGAGCATTAACCTTCCACTCAGTCTGTGCTGCCTGGATTTTAGTATGTCTGGATTCATCATTAAATCACCCTTTATTCATTCCAACCTGGGTCCTCAGCAACATCCTCACCACCTCTTAACCACACTTCATGACACATAGTTACTATTTTTATTACAAGTATTGAGGTATTAATCCTTCCAATTAAATTTAGGCACTTGTTTCTGATTGTTAAATCAATTCCATGAACTTTAATTTCAGAGTTAAAACCAAAACTATTCTCTTGACTTTAATTTCATTTTCAAGCCAGAAAGTGGACTTTCATTAAGTTATACCAAGTTACTTATATTGCTTGTTTGTAAATAATTACTTTTGAAATGATACCAAAATATATATTCTGTCTTTAACATGGAACATATGAAGGTCACAGATGTTTTCCTAACAGCTCATATAATAAAAACACCTGCAATTCTACCTGTATGTTTCTTCTAGAATTACTTCGAAAAATACTTTGTGGGTTCCACATTTATTATGCTTTTAAGAGCCACAGAAGATATGTGGACATGATACAATTTGTGTGCACGTCTTCTTGGTTGTTTGTCCTGTTGAAACACCAATAAACAGCCTGTTTGATGCAGTGCAGCATGGATCTCCATCAGTCCCATTTGGAAGTCTTCCTCTTCATGTATCTCTCTCCTTCGCTGTCTATCGCTTCATAAAGCTGCTGGTCATTTTCTTTCATGGCGTGCAGATAGCCCAGGTAACCCACGCTCAAGGTGATGGCCACCAGCCCAAATACCATCACTGGTTTATTCTGCAAAACAACACAGCTCCATGTTAAAAGCCTGACAGGGGTGTTATCACATGGTAATAACATAACACAATCCTACTAAGATCAGCCATCCACAGAGCTTTTATTGGGTCAGTTTTAACGTTTTCAATAGAGTCATGGCTCTGAAACCTGCCGTTAGAGGAGATGATCGCTGAGAGCCAGCGATCATGGTCAGGCCAGCAGATTAGGAAGTCTCAGACTGGAGTAGAGTTCCTGTTTCATGCTGCATAAATGCTCCACATTGAGAAAGGGAGGGGAGGGGGATCGATCAATCAATCAATCAATCAATCAATCAATCAATCAATCAATCAATCAACCAACCAACCAACCAACCAGTGGGCGTCAACTACAGAAGTGTGCAAAACTGCCGAGAAAATGAGCGATCCAGCAGCAGTCAGAGGCTCCACACAGTTAATCTAAAACTTTCTGAAATCGCGCTACCATGTTGTAAAACTATAACACTTTATTTCTCTCTCTGTGTGTGTGTGTGTTAGGGTCTCACCGGTTTTATGAAGAGTTCAGGATTGACAGCACGGAACAGTGTGGTGGTCTGTGCTCCTCTCAACCCAGGCGTCCGGAAGCCTTTCTCCCCGGCATTCTCCTTCCCCTTATCGGCTTCTTTTTCCAACATGTTCCCTCCAAAGCACACAGAACTCAACGGGAGAAACCTGACAGAGGATCTCTAATGATCATAATACTATCCCAAATGACAGATTTGTTCTCCATTTGTTTGCCTCACAACATTGCCACTTGTTCTTCTTCTGGTTTTCCTCATGCTAACCAAGTGCAGACTGCCATCTGCTGGATTTAAACAACATTCCGTTTAAAGCCCGATTTTACCCCGACTCCCGGACGGAAAACGTCGAGTTGCGCGGTCAGTGGGTCGGGCGGGTTGACACTAAAATCTACTTGTCTGAGAATGGATGGAGAGTAGATTCTGTGTGAGATGGAAACAGGCCCGACTCGATCTCAACCGAATCTCTCACAGTCGTGACAGATTTTTTTAAATATTCACAATACCAGACTGGTATTTTGTTGTGAAAGATTCAGGGACCACAGACCAAAGGAGTTTAATCATACCAGTAGGTTCCGGTAACAGAATATATTCTCAGAATTTGGACGGGCTATATTTCTGTTACACTCCATAAAATGAATCAACGGTGGAGAGGAAAAGGGGCCGAAATATGAGCCACATTTAACAGCACTGGTGCTGTGCAGCACAAACAGAAAAGGTAAATGTGAGGGATGTAGAGAAAAAGGGGGGGGGGGAAATGTGGTACATACATGCAACATATTTACATACATAGAGTGGGGCAAAGAAGAATTTAATCAGCCTACTTAGAAAGATGAAAGTGTAATTTTCATCATAGGTATACTTAAACTATGAGTAAAAAACAAAATCCATTGTAAAGAATTTGTAAATTATGGTGGAAGATAAGTATTTGGTCAGTAACAAAATTTCAACTCAATACTTTGCAACATAACCTGTGTTGGCAATAACAGAGGTCAAATGTTTCCAGAAAGTCTTCAGAGGTTTGCACACACTGTAGCTGGAATTTTGGCCTATTCCTCCATGCAGATCTCTTCTAGAGTATTGATGCTTTGGGGCGGTCACTGGGCAACACGGACTTTCAACTCCCTCCACAATTTTATGGGGTTGAGGTTTGGAGGCCAGCTAGGCCACTCCAGGACCTATTTCAGTAATATTTTCTAAACAAAAGCTGTACAAATGGAAAATTATCAGCACAAACGTAGCACAGTTGATTGATACCAATTGTGTTTGAGAACTTGAATTAGGTGGGAGGCTGGTTGACATTTCATAACCTCTGGAAACCTTTACTAAAATTTTAAAAATGATAGGGGCACAAAAATAGTTGCTGCACAGGCCAGTACAAACGTTTGACACCAATTTTGTTTTATTTGAAGATGGCTTAAGGACAACTTCACTCAGGATTGACCAAGCATGCTACCTGGTCTGCACACTGGGTGAGGAAGATCAACACATTCCACTATTTTGTTTAGAAATAAGAGCTGATCCATTCAGAGCAGAATTGATCCAGCATCTTAAAATTATATCATGTTTTCCTCCAAAAAAAAAAAAAAATCCCTCAGTCGACTGTCAAGTCCTTCTCTGGTGAGAACTTCTCTAATATACTGTAAATCTTGGCCACATACATCATTAAAAGTAATGAGTATTCATGTATCAAATTGAAGAGAATAGCTGATGTTCCGGTAACACATCAAAAACTTTAGTGTATGACCAGTATGGTCATACATTACTGTGACTGACTTGTCCCATTCCTAGAAATTAGATTAGAAAAATCTGTTGTAGATCAGTAAATTGTCTCTTCAGTTTTTGTTCCTTTAGCAACAAAGTCTTATTTTAACCCTTTTAGCACAATGCTCAGGAGGAGCCTGGCAGATGTCACAGCTGGAGAGCAGGGAAACGGTGGGTGGTGTCCATCAGACCATCAGTTCCCAAATTCGCACACAAAAAAAACTTGTAAAAGCGCATCTTAAGACCACAGGAGAATTAAGAGAGTAAGCTAAAGCTAGTGAGAGGTGAGGTTTTACTTTGTGGGCAGAGTGGGATTTATGTTTACCGCTATTAATATAAGGCAAATCTTGCTAATTAACATGCACTGAAACGAGAGTTATTTCCTTTCTGTTTTACTAAAGTACCCACAGGCAATGAGTCATCTTTTTATCTGTTCCAGAGAATTTTAAGAAAAGAATATTTGGACCCCCATGCTACAGTCTCAGTGTGTGTTTTTCAACTTTTTACCTTATTTAAAAACTTCTTGATAATAGGTACTCAAGCTGTGACTAAACAAAGTAAACCACTGAGGATTTTAACAAGTGACTTTAATTCAGAAAAATTTAACAAAATCATTTTATAGGTCCACATGCAACAGCACTTAAGAGGGCTCTGTGATCTTATAAAAGACAAAAAAATCAACTGAAATAATACAAAAATTTAATAGGGCTGCTGGTGGCAGTGGGATTTTTAAAACTATATATACACACACGACAAGCAATGATCAATATCTTCACAAACTACACACAGAATTAAGCTCATTTGTCTCAAATTCCCACAGGGATAACTTAGACGCCATAAGTTGATGTCATTTGAACATGCTTTACACTTTACAATATGAAAAAAAACCTGTACAGATAGTACTGTGAAACAGACTGGTTTAGTCCATCAAATCAGACTAATTCAGATCCTGAGATTTAGCTATTGAATAAAAAAAAAAAAAAAAGCCTCCAAAAAGAAGTTAGTCACATCTCTCCAACACTACAGCTGGGTCCATGTCCTGCAGCTGTTTCAACATGGGCTCTATGACACCCTCAAAGGCTGGATCTAGTTTTATTTTCACTTTGCAAAGTGACTTTAAGTTCTGATGGTTGCTGAACCAGACACAGGTCTTTTTGCCATTTGAACTAGTTTGGCTCTCACCATTTTCTACTTTAACTGGCCTCATCAAGTGTTGCTCTGATTCTCTGGTCTCTTCCAAGAATTGCAAGAAAGACATTTCAAATCCCATCGGTTTAAAGGAAGCCAGGGGCACACTCTGCTCTGTCTCCTCTGGAACTATTGAGCAGGTCTGCTTCTCTTCCTTGACCTGAACAGTTGTTGTCTTAGTTGGCCGAATGACTTTTTTAGATCCAACAAAATTTACGCCAAATTTTCTTGGTCGTCCTCGTTTACGTTTTAGTACCACAAGTCCATCAGAACTTTTCTTTTTTGATAACTTAGTTTTTAACAAAGTCATGGGCATCTCTGTTGGGCTTCTTCTGCGTAGGACCGGCTTCGAATATTCATATTTCCCTTCGTCCGTGACAGCTTCTGTTTTCTCAACGTCCGACTGCTCTGAAGTGTTCTCAGATTTGGAGTCATCACTCCTGATGGAACGACATTTATGCCTGGAGAACTTCTTGCAGAATATGAAGTGACTCCTGTGCTGTTCCAAGTACTTTTCCGACAGTCCATGTACGATGTAATGTTTGAGTATGCTCTTTTCAGACTTCATGACTGATGTGCAACCTTTGATCATACAAGGATACTGCAAGTGAAATTTCTTGGTGCACAAGGCAGATGCATCCACTTTAGACTTCAAGGAAGGTTTTCCATATTTAAGCCAGTGTTTGCTTTTTGACTTGTCTACCTTCTTCCTGTCATGAGCTCTCACTGGAATCTTTTTGTTGCTCTCTATATTTTCTTTGCCATTACTTATTTTGGTAATTTGGTAATGTGAAGATGTTGAGTTTTGCTTCTCTTCATCCTCTTCTACTTGTTTATTTTGTAGTTTAAGCTGGTACAAGTCCTGATGTTTTTTCATCATATGTCTGAGCATGTTTGACTTTGTAGCATAAGAGCGATCACAGCCTTCGATTTCACACTTGAAAACTTGTAATTGTTCAGGTTTGGCAAGGTTTAGGTCTTTATGGCGCTCTTTAACGTGACTTTTATAGTTTCTGAAAGCAGTGAAGGTTTCTGTGCAGCCTTGGTGACCACAAGCAAACCAGCCAAGTCTTATGCCAAACAATAGTGCTTCCACCTCGTCATCTGTGAATTCATGCAACTGCAGATAGTGCTGGAAAAGATTGGGGATTTCTTGAAAAACACAGCAGCAGTCTTTGACTTGACATCTGAATTCTGTAATCTGCAGCAACTCGGGATCTGGCTCTTCCTTAACATGGGCCAGTAGTTCATCTGCTTCCTCACTTTGGTCATTCTCCTCACCCAGGTGATGCTCCTCACTCTCCACCAGTGCTGACAAAGCAGACTGGTGCACAGCCCTGTAGTGGAGGATCAGATTTTGCTGGATCGTGAAGGCTGCCTCACAACCTTGATGGACGCAGCGATATGGTCTATAAGGACTCACAGCATCTTCTGATTTTGGCTTCTTCCCTTTAGACTTCCTGACAATGTTTTTGTTTTGTTTAACCACTGTTTGCATCTTGAAGGAGCCATTTTCATAAGTTGGTGGAGCTTGAGGTAGGGTAGACAAATTTTGGAATAGAGGAAAATTCTGACTTTCTGCATGCAATTCAGACAGATTTCCTTCTTGTTTGAACCATTGTTCAGTAGACATCCCTGCTTGTGCTGTCTGTGAGGCTGGGAAGGTCCGAGGCCTTGCAGGTGGAGTTTGTTCTAGATTTTGCATGGGAACAGCTTTTAAGGAATGGATAACTGAGCAGTGGTTATGACCTTGATATTCATGATTAGCTACAGCTGGGTTAGCCGAAGGAACATATGTCTGATTCAGTGAAGCCTGGACAGGATCTATACAGGCACTGTTATCTAAAATTGTATGGTTAACTGTGGTAACTGGAGCCAATGGAACCTGGCTTATGGCCACAGGCTTTTTTCGACTTGCATTAGATACTTCAGCTTTCGCCAGCCTTCGCTTTTCATCCAGGAAAGCAATTTCTTTATTTGATAATTTGTGAACTGACCGGTAATGAATGCGAAGGTTTGAGTTTCGAGTAAATGCTTTCGGACATTTCTCGCACTTGAAAGGAGCGTACTGTCCATATCTTTTTTTGACCTCATTAACCATCCCAATTGTGTAGTTGTGAGCTTTGGAGAGATGCCTCCACAGGGAATCACTAGAAACGGAACTAAATGAGCAATCAATGTCTTCACAAGTAAATGGTTTAACAACAACAGATTTTGATGGAACTGAAGTGACTCCTGTGAAATTTTGGGATTTCACCTTAGAGGATACAAACTGGGTTTTTTCAAACCCAGTTTGTTTTAATGGAGTTATCAACTGATCAGGAAGTTCTCTCATCAAGTCAAGCCTTTCAAATGCACACTGAATGTCAGTCATCCACTGCTGCTG